GTATGGAAGTCGAAGCAATGGAAGCTGCTTTGGGTACACCGAGACCGTCAGCACCTTCACCTCCATTCAAAGGTTCCTGTCCCGCTTGCGGTGTTCTGCCAGGAGAAGGCACCACGATTTCCTGCGCACTTGTTTCCTTCGGAGGCGTAATCAGGGCTTTAATTGCATTAAGAGCAGCAATACCATTGCCATCCAACGGGCGGTTGTACAGCAGGACGTTCGTCACAGTCACAGACACGCCTTCTTGGCTCCCTTTGTTGCTTCCATCCCCTCCAATGTAGAAGTGGGAGATCTTTTTATCTTCCTCACTTTCCAATTGGCATTGCACATTCTCCAACACACGCCTACCATCGACGTACGCGGAGCCCTGAGTGCTGTTCTGCAGCAAAATGGCCACCTGGTGTGTTTTCTCTTGCCCCTCAATGTGGTTTTGCACCTCCGTCGGTTTCCCACCGCACAGCATCTGCCACTTTTTCTCTTTGTTGTTGTACGACAGTCCCAGGAGTACTGGATTCTCTGCATCCATCATCACACCAATCACTGGAATGGGGGTATCTCCCTCCTTCGGCTCACCGTCGATGGACGCCGTCGCCACAAGAGTGAAGTTGTAGTTCGCAAAGTGGTACAGCTGATTCTCCCCCTGCCTGCCAACAGGCCACTCCGCCCACGCTCCCGTGAACTTCACTCCATCTGAAGACTCTGCAGTCTCTGCTACCCCTGCTGACGCTCCTTCTTCCTCTCCCTTCTTTACTGTGGCGTTCACCCCGAGGTACTCGTCCCTCCATGTGTCATCAGAGAAGTTGCCGGACAAAAAGCCAACCAGCCCATCCGTGATCTTAGTGTTTTTGCAGGCACTTTCAGGTGAGGTAACCTGCACAGCGCTCTCAGAAGGGCACAGCTCGGAGACACGTTTGTCCACTTCCTTCCAGGTCGCCAGCACATCCTTCACACGCTGCAGCTGCTCAGTCAGACGCACAGAGACCATACCGGGCGATGGATTTTCTTTCTCATCGCCCTTCTTCTTCTCGTACAGTGCAATCAACTCCTCCCTCTTATTATCATCAGTTCCACTCGTAACACTTTTGTACAACAGGGCGCTGGCGGCAGCGTCATCGTCCTTCCCGGATACCGGCCCAATATCAACAATGTGCGTATTGTCCGTCAGCCAAAGATGGAGTTCACCCTTTTCTTTTTCTTTGGCATACACCGGCAGAGTAACGAGCATCATATTCCTCTGCTCACCTCCATCAACAAAAGTCGCTGTGGTGAACCCGCTCCCAACGGCCTTCCCTTCTCCCTCCTGTTTGCTGCCCCACACGCGCGAGAGTGTCCCGAGTGCCTCCGTCCACGAATCCCCCTTGTCACCGGACTCGTACACCCTGCGGCGGCCATCACCACACGCAGTCATCATCATGAGTTTGTCCTTCCACTCCACGACGGAGGGATCACTGCAGCCATCGGCAGACATCCCCTTCGACAGCTTCCAACTCGGAGTAGCTGCCAAGTTGTGTATGATTAGGGAAGCAGTTTTCACTTCCTTTTCTGTTTCATCGTTCTTCTTTTTCGTGCCTTCCAGCGGGAACAAAAGCGTACCATCATCCATCTTAACACCCGATCCGCCGCCTCCAATCAGTCCTGTCAAGGATTCAAGTTGTGTGACAAAAATTCCTCGCGGGAGACTTTCAGTACTTTTCCAGTCAATTTTTTTATTAGGTGCTTCAGCACTGACGTTCCCTTTCACCAGCAAAAGCCCCGAGTCGTCTGCTTCGCCATCCTCTTTACCAGTGGCAGCTGTAGGACTGTATTTCCCAACAAGCATGTAAATATCATTTCCCTGCACAACTGTTGTTGGTCGGCTCACATCTACTCTCTTGCTTGTGGGAGCGCCTTTCTCCAGAACTCGTATCACTCTGGCATTCTTAAGCGCTTCCTCCGGTTTGTTGTCGCCTTTTATCGTGAGAAGTTGGGATGTAATGCCAGTAAAGGTATCTTCTCCATCCTTCTTGCACTGCGCCTCGGCAACGGCAAATACGTCACTCCCCACTTTCAAAAGGCCGGGAGCACCAAACGATTTCACAGTTACATCACCCTCAGTGATGTCCTTCCATTCAAACTTCGGATCAGACGACGGCTCCACAGCTTGCGTAGCTCCACCACTGCTGCAGCAAATCATCACGACGAGGAGCAGCAACACCGCGGAAGTAAACAAGTGCCGGGACATGTTGAGCCTCTGCCGCTCACTCTCTCTTCCTTCCCTCCTCCTTCCGCGGGATCCGGTCACGCGACGACGGTTTTGTGTGCGGGGTGCCTTCACTGCAGCAACACGTGAGAGCATACAAATATGTGTGTGTGGGCGGTGTTTGTGTGTGCTGTTGGTCCTTTCAGAGCCTTACAATTTCAAGGTAGCGATTAGCGTTTAGTCGTAACTTCCTTCCTAGCGTGTGTGTGCGTGAGGCGGAGAAAAGAAAAAACAAGCCAAGAAAAGAGGTGAGACAGCGAGCACCGCCACCCATCCACTGTGAGTGGCATCATCATCCCCGCCGTATTCACTCCCAAAAACAACAACTCACGCACACAGACACACGGAACGAGAAGGGAGAACACTGCACCGGGAACACACAGCGACTGCCACCACCAGCAGCAGGAGCCACGGCGGGTGCTTCTGCCACGCGTCAGCACACACCAGGCGACGCCCACACATAAAATAACCAGCGGGAGGCAAAAGGCACAGCCGTCCTCCGCAGCACCCACGCACTACCGCCAGTCGTTCCACTGTTGTCCCTCCAGCGCAAATCGCCCGCTCCGCCGCCGGCGCACACCACCCCGCACAGCCGGAAAAGCCCCCGCCATCAAATACACAACAAGAAAGACGCTTCGGCACCTGCAGCTGCTGGGCGGAAATCGCTCCGCACCTATTTCAGGCACCCTCAACAACGCACGACAAAGACAAGCGTTGCAGACTCCCTTCATCCCCATCCCAAGGGCCGCAGCAGACAGAATCGTGTTCGTGCGTGCGTTCATTCTCAGCGTTTTAAACACGGCATGTTCAGCATGACATGTGTGTATGTGTTTGTGCTTGGCAGTGCCTATACTTGCGGAGCAGCTGTGTGCCACAAGAGAGTCCAAAGAAGCAACGGCAGAGAGAGGCAGATAGCACACACGCAAATTACTCATATCAACACACACACACGCAGCCGCGGAATGGGTGCACTCAACCACAAAATCAAAAAAGGAAAACAAAACAAAAAGCCGAAGCGTGGGACGACCAGCGCACACACTCTCATTGCTCCCGTAAAGCAAAACACACACACAGAGGGAGAGAGAGAGAGAGGTCGCCCACTCAATGCAATAAAAACAAAACAGAAACAGTTACGGTGCTCCGCCCATGCAGCCAGGCAGGACGGCAGCGGTGCGTGTCGTGCAAAAGAGAGCACCAACGGGCCTGCATGGGTGTGAATGCATATATACAATGGGCACATTATGTGTGTGCTTCGTGGGGTGAGGTGAGGGCGAGAGTCCATGCAAGGGGACACACACACACAGAGAGAGAAGGACGAGTGTGTGTGCGGGCGGTGCATGGCTCTCTCACACTCACTCTCACGCGGCCACCACCGCAGCCGCAGCCGCACATACAACAACAAGAAGAAAAAGCAAAAGAGGAGAGGTGTTGTGGGAGACCGCGGTGCTGTCGTCACAGTCGCCAACCTCTGTCACCGTACCATTTGTTTGAGCGTCGGTGGTTGTCTTCGCTGTTTTTGGTGCTGTATCACTGAGTGGTGGAACAACGTTGGTATTGCCAGTTTCAAGGCTCTCGTGTTGTCCTTCAGAGCTTTGAGCATCATCCTCATCTGCCTTATTCTGGACATGATCACCGCTGCCACTTGTAGAGGTAGATGAGGTTGTTGTTGTTTCTGCTGGACTGCCGGCTGCTGCATTCTTCGTCGAATCCTTTGTGTCTGTGTCATGACTGTGCTGCCTTTGTGTAGCATCCCCTGGAGGTGGTTCCGGTGCTTCTGAGTCCGTTTTGGATCTTGACGGTGTGTTTTCGTTCTTTGCTTTGTTTAATTTCTGTAAGTTTTCTTGATCTGGTAGTGGGCCTCCTTCACCTGCTGTTGATGATGGTGCAGGTCCACCCGATGGTATCGTTGGTGGCGGTGGTGGTGGTGCCCCCTCATTATTTTGACTCTCGTGCGTCTGGGGGTGTACCTTATTTTTTTCCTTTTCGTCTTTTTTATCCCTTTCCGTTTCTTCCGCCGTTTCTTCTTCCTCATCACTGTCTTCATCTTCAGCTTCCTCTGGAGAAGGGGAAGGTGCAGGTAACACTTTTCCATCAATATCTGGTGATCCAACTTTTAAGTTTTTGGTGCCTTGTCCAGCCGTTTCAAGCTCTTTGACTGCAGGCGGAGATCCACCACCACTCCCAGGAGCTCCTGCCTCCTCTTCACATCTACCAACGACACCAAAGAATACCCGCACCACAGCACGCAGAGGGCACACACCAGCAGCACACGGCCAGTCATCATCGCCACCACTCCTGTCTCTTGCGTGTAGCCTTCAGCAAAAGTAACTCACCGTCAACAGAGAAGGAAGAGAAAAGATAGACACGGCCGCTACACCACGCACAGCCACCACAGCAACAAATGGCAGCACCCAAGCAACGCACACACCACGAGACAGATGGAATCAGTACGATTGCAGAGCTCGCACACCACACCGCAAACCACAAGTTTAAAAAGCAATAAAAAACAATAATTAAAAAACAATAATTAAAAAAGAAAAGAAAACAAACCCAGGGCTCCAGTGCGCATGCATACGAGTGTGTCCGCGATGCGTTCAACGTGGCGGATGCGGGGCACAACGCGGAGCACACAGCACGGCAGCAGAAGCAAGTGAAGCAAAACAAGATCATTATTTCCTCTTATTTTAGTACAGTGAACCACAACACACGCGCACAAATCCCCGCGGTTGAGTGCCGGCACGCACAGCCCGCACACACCTCTTCAGCCCACAGCGGTGTACGCCAGCGCGGATGCGGCGAGCACCAGCGGGGCACACACCCACGCAGAGCTGCTGAGGCTGCCGTCGATTTCGCGAAGACGCGACGGTGCGCTGGTGGTCGACACAGCTGGCGCCTCCGTAGTCGTAGTACTTGGTGTCTCTGGCTCAATATTTCCCGGGGCCGGCTCAGTGGCTGACTCTTCAGCAGCCTCAGGCCGACTGTTCTCTGGTGCAGGGAGCAATGAACTAGTAACTTTCGTATTAGCTTCAGCATCAGGCGTAACCTTCTCCTCATCATCAGCTGCGTGTGTTGTGATGGCCGCAGTGGTCGTGTCAACACCACCTTCGGCGTTCTCATTCGCTTGATCCGCGGGTTTTCCCTTGCTACCCTGTGGCCCTGTCGTACCATCGTTATCAGCTGCCTGTAACGTACCAGTCGCACCCGGCCCCGATCCGCCATTTCCTCCTAGCATCGCAGCCGGATTAGTCACTGGTGTTGTAGGCGGTCCTGACTGACCTTCCCCCTGCGCTCCCTCTAATAGGAGCGGCGATTCACCGGCGGCTTCTCCAACAGCTTGAACAATAGCATTGTCATCAGTAACTTGTGGCTGTGTTATCGTCGGCGTGGTCGTCTGGGAAGCTTGAACATCAACTTTAGGCTCCGGTTCCGCTGACGCGCACACGGACGGGCAGCAGCAGCACAGGGCAAGCACCAACAGGGCGCACAGCAGACGGCACGTCATCATCATCGTGAGTGTGGTCGTTCAGTGGTGTGGAGCTGATCTGCACAGTGAGGGACATGGAGAGCAACAGGGGAGACGAGAGGTGCAGCAGACAAACACAGAGGGCACACCAAATGAGGAGAGGGCAGCAGCCAGGCATGCACCGTACGCCGCACACCACGCACGACACACACTCCAATCCACGGCAGCAGGCACACACACACACAGCCCTGCCGCAACACCAACACACAGATGGAAGAGGGAGAAGCAAACAGGAGCGGCACACAAGGCTTCACCGCATGCACGTGCGGCGAGAGCGGTCCGTCGTGTCTGCACCCCTCACGGAGGGTGCGCACACACACAAGAAGGTGCAGCGCACACAGCAACACAAAAGCATAGTAACAATAAAAAAGGAGATCCCCGCACACCACGCGGATTGTTGGTCCACGAGAAGTGCAGCCAATATTCATCACAAAGCAGATTGTTATCTTGTTTTGGTTGTATGCTGCTACAATAACGAGTGAGTAGCGCAAGGGCCGTCCGTACAAAAGTGGCAAGTATTCCGTCGTGCGGGCTGGGGCAGTCACAAACAGTCGCAGTCCCAGTTCCCAACGACGAGGGCATTCCCGCAGTGGATGGGGCGGAGTCTCCCGTGGTCCGTCGGGGATCAGCAGCCCGTGGCGTCTGTGATGAGGCGGTGGCGGAAGAGCCTGGTCCATCTCGAGTTCCCGCGTTTGTGCTTCCTGCGTGTCTCGCCTGCCGGCATGCTTGGCAACTTCGGTGGCGACCTGCGCGCGAGGCGCCTGTTAAGAAGACGGTGGCGCCATTGTGGCATCCGCATGGGAGGCCCTCGCAAACTATTATAACGCCAGGCTGAGCACGTCCGGCATGTGCCCTCATACTGTGGACGGACAAGCGCACTCAGCCGCAGGTTGGGCAGGAGGACGTCAATCCGCCGCTCGCTGGTCGACAAGGAGTTGCGGTGCTCACGTCGGGAAGAGGTTCCGGCGGAGGCAGAGGCGGGCCGGTCACCGCAGTGAGGGAGGGACGGCACAACCGACACAGGGGGTTCCTTGTGATCCGCAGGGCGCGTGCGGGCCTGTCGAAGAGTGGGCAGGAATCGCATCGCGCCTGTGCGCAGTGCCGCCACTCGGGGACCGATGTCCGGGTCAACACCAGGAATAGAGTCCTCGCCACACCGACAGGCGCCTGTCACGCGGTGTGCGCCCTCCTTTTTCTCCTGGGCATCCTTCCATTATAACCTCTTGACGGCGGTAAGGAAGTCCACGTGCCAGGCATTGACGCAGTCCTAGGTGGAGCGCCTCCATCGCCGAGAGGGAGTCTGTGGCGGGAGGAACTCGTGTGGGCGATTGGGACGCTGCTGCCAGGCGGGGAACTGGGAAGTGTCCGAGGCCATGCTCAGTGGCAGGACACTCCGCTCGGCAGGTGCATGCAAGGCTGCATGCAGCTGTGCGGTGAGGCTCCACAGGGAGCTCGGCTGTCCGGGGAGTCGAGTGGCAGCGCAGCGGATCCGGAGGCATGTTCAGCGAGAGACAACGTGCCGTCCGTCCAGCGGCCTGCATCATACGGTCCCAGAGGTGCAGGCCGCTTCAAGGGCCGATCGCCTGACACCGTCCAGGGCGTCCTTGGCGTGCCGTGGCCGGAAGACGCCCACCCCGCTGCAGCTCACAGTGTACCGGGCGAAAACTCGGTGCTCAACAAGAGGGGCGCGGATGTGGTCCGGGGAGATCCCCATGTGGCTGCGGACGCGTCGCAGTTCCTTGAGGACGGCATCTCCCGGCAGCGGAATGGTCGTCGCTGCCTTCCCAAGTATTGACGAATGTGCGGTTTCCGAGCAGACTGCGCCACGCACGTCCTCAATATAACGGAGACGCGTGAGGCGTTCGTGCCGTGTGGTGCGCGGCACCCAACGATCCTCCGCAGCGGTGCTGGACTGGCGGTCAGGTGGACAGAAGTATCCTTCGCTGATACGCATGGCACGGTCTGCTCTGCAGCGACGGTGACGTGCAAACCAAAAATGAGAAGTCGATCAATCGCATTGCGGGGCAGACGCACAGGGTGGGACTTCACGCGTGGGTTCCCACCGCCCAGACGATGGTCGGCCGTGTCCTCGTCAGACTGTCGGTGTGAGGCGATGCAGAACAGAGCGGACCGTTCCTGTCCGCGCTGATACTCAGACTGTGCTCGGCAGCCCATGTGGCCACAACGGACACGGCAGCTGGCATTGCCGCACCACAGGCACGGAGGTCCGCACACAACGCAACAAGCGTGCGGTTGTCAGCGTGCATGAACACCAACGCAAAGTGAATGCTGTCCAGGCTGCGCAGCAGACCATCCACGTGGCGGTGGAGGAGCTGCGGCCGCACGACGCTGCATTGGGCTGCCACGGCTGAGGGAAGCTGCTGTCGGGAATATTGCTCGCAAGCACTCACCCCAACGCAGCCGCCTCGCAGGTGATTGCGCTACCAGCGTTGGGCGCAACGGCATAGGCGCGGGAGCCCGCAGAGCACAGCCAGCACTCGCCCATCGCCAACGGTGTCGAACGCAGTCGAGATGCCAATCGGGATGGCGAGAGAGCGGCGACGGCGACGGTGCAGCGCGGGATGACGCCCCTGCGACGCTCGCACTCCACAGCGATGCACCCGCTCAGCCCTCGTGCCGTTTCGTCACTCACAGGCGTCACCAACTCCGAGGCCGTGCGTCGTGGCGTGGATCCAGGCTGACGTCGGTGGTGTGCCAGCAGTGCTGACAGGCGGCGGCGGACCAGTCCTTTCCTCACACCTAGCAGGACAGAGAGCAGCGGGAGTGGCCGGCAACTCTCTCTGTGCGGCATGCGTCCTTCCCGTGTATGCGGATGGGAGTGGCTTCCCCATTTCCCAGTAACTTCGCAGGCTGCCGTCGGCGAGGGAGGTGTTGATCATCGTTCAGTGCGAGCAGCGGGCAGCGGGTGCAAGACGGCGCAGAAACGCACTCAATACGCCGCCAGGGCCAGGGGCAATGCCAGGCAAACAGTCGCGGATGGCCAAGTCAGGCGCACACGGCGTGAAGGGCCAATTCATATTCCAGTCAACAGGGGGCACGCAAGCACAAACTGTGCAGGCAACTGTGGGGATCGCAGCACGTGAGACTCGGACAGTGTGACGGACGAGCGAATTTTCCTGCTGACGAGGCAGAGCACAGGCAAAGTCCCAAGAGCACCACAGCACAGCCGATCCCAGAGAGCAGGAACGTGGTGCCGCCATGCCTCGGGGTATCACAGGCCTGGAATCGAGAGGGCACCAAGCTGCTTTGCACGGACCTCCAGCAGCATGGAGAAACCACCGCGGAGGGCATGATTACGGTCCTCCCGTTTGCGGACAACTTCAGCTCGGGGCAGGCTGCCTCCGGGTGAGGCAGTGTGCTCATCCCATACTGCCACTACAACACACTCGGCATGCTCCATTCTGTCCGTCCACATTCCTTTGGGAGTGTCACGGCTGCCGCTCGTACGGTGCCTCGGTGCATCTCCAACCATGTGGTCACAGTGGCCAGAGGCGTTGCACACGCCGTGGCGAAATCATTCCAGTCAGCTGCACGCAGCGCAAGGGCAGCATGTTTCCGTCGTGGCAGCAGGCCTGCCTGTCGCGGGATGCCGTCCTCCGTCCCCGCAGTGTGGGATGGCAGATGGTGATCCGAGTCCATGCAAACGGGTGGACGTCCAGTGGGAGACACGCAGTACGCGTTGCGCAGTCACGTCGGGAAACAAGACGCGGCGGCCGCCAATCCGCGCTGCCTGTGCCGGGTCGTAGGACAGCTGAGACTCCATGCCGATTGGGGTGGCGGCGAGGTCCTCTCCTGCCGCCGTTGAAGGTGAGCAACCGTCCCGCAGCTCATGGTGTAGGTTCAGGTCACCCGCAATGGGCGCTGCAGAGCCAGAGCGACGAATGGTGCTCGCAAAGTGAGCAGCGTGGGCAATTGCCGATGGGAGGTTGCAGAGGTTCACCGCGTACATGCTGGGGCAGGGCGGTGGTCTCCAGGCAGTTGGTGCCAGCAGCGACAGGCGCTCGCACGGCAAGGTGTGGCGCACCAAGAGGGCCACGCCACCGGCACGCCCACCGCAGGCCTGGTGGAAGTCACTGCAGCCAACGAGCCTCGTCGCCAAGAGCATTCCTGCATAGAACTGTGCAAGTACTTGTGTGTGTGCTGCAGGAGCTGAAAAAAGGAGGAGCACAGGGAGGCAAATCAGCACAGCGAGCGGCACAGCTGGATGGCAACGATACACGCGGTACGGCCCCGACATCAACAATCACGCACGGTGGCAGCATACAAACATACACACAAAAAAAAATCTTAAAAACACGGCGGCAGGGTGTGGCTGTGTGTGTGGCGCTGCGGGTGTCTGCCCGCCCTGGCCGCGACGAAAACAAAACAAGAGGGAAGAGATGTGTGCTCCGCCCCACAGGCCCTCGTCGCACGCCCACACGTCACGGCTCCCTCAGCGCGCCGTTCGTCGCGGCCCCTCCTCATGCGTGCAGCAGGCGAGGCGCACAGGGCCGTCGTCGTGAGCGTGTCGGTGGGTGTGCGAGCGGAGCAGTTGGGCGGCAAACACACGGCACCCCTCGCAGGAAGAGTGCAGCAACAAACAATTAAAACAGTAGAAAAGAAACAAAAAGTCCATAGTGACTGCCCCCAAAAGCAAAAAGAGAATTTATGGGGATTATGAGATAAAAAACAAAAAGGAAAAACGCAATAACCAAAGAAAAAACAAACGCAAAAAAGTTTAAAATTACGCACATAAAATAAAAAGAAACAAAAACAAAAAGAAAGTAGCAAACAGGAAATTAAATTTAAAATAAGCAAAAAAAAAGAAAAAATTATTTGAAGGGAAAGAATTAGTTCTTGGACACAATTCTCTGCTGGGAGGTCGCAAGTTTCCCACGCGGCAGCCAGTCATCCCTCACGCAGCCGCAAACCCCCACAGTCCCAACAGAAGGAGCAGCGATGGCAGCAGTCCAGTCTCACGCACAGTACACGCATCGCTGTTATTCCCCTGCGACGAATTTCCGAGGCTGCTGCTGAGGGCCGTGGCATTTACTTCCCTGTCCTGCGGATGGATTCCCTCCTCCTGCCCATCCGTTCCTCCTGCCGCCTCCCCATCCGCACCAGAGCTCGCGCTCACATCAGCTGTCAATGCGGGTCCATCGTGCCCCACGGTTTCAGCGGTAAGAAAGTTTGTATCTGCGGCGGCGGCGGTATTACCCACGGAAGGTGTGTGCGGTCCATCCCCCTGTATCGTATCTGCACTCCCCTCCCCCAACGTCGGGTTACCGCTAGACGAGGGAGAGACATCCACATCTGCATTTCCATCGGGAGGCTTTCCTGGCGCGAGTTGGTTCACCGATTGCCCACTTCCTGAGGAAGTCGTTGAAGCGAACACTGCTGATGGGGATGCACTTACACCGGCAGCACCTTCACCTCCATTCAAAGCTTCCTGTCCCGCATGCAGTGTTCTGCCAGGAGAAGGCAACACAATTTCCTGCGCACTTGTTTCCTTCGGAGGCGTAATCGGGGCTTTAATTGCATCAAGAGCAGTAATCTCATTGCCATCCAACGGGCGGTTGTACAGCAGGACGTTCCTCACAGTCACAGACACGCCTCCTTGGCCCTCTGTGTTGCTTCCGTCCCCTCCAATGTAGAAGTGGGAGATCTTTTTATCTTCCTCACTTTCCAGTTGGCATTGCACATCTCCCACACGCTGACCATCGACGTACGCGGAGCCCTGAGTGCCGTTCTGCAGCACAATGGCCACTTGGTACCGTGTACTATCCGTCCGTGTCTCCCAAGTGCTGCTCTGCCCCTTGTTCTGTCCGTCACCACACAATAATATCCACTTTTTCTCTTTGTTGTTGTACGACAGTCCCAGGAGTACTGGATTACTTTGGTCTTCCCAACGCGCACCCATCAAAGGAATGGGGGTATCTCCCGTCGGCTCACCGTCGATGGACACCGTCGCCACAAGAGTGAAGTTGTAGTTCGCAAAGTGGTACAGCTGATTCTCCCCCTGCTTGCCAACGGGCCACTCCGCCCACGCTCCCCGGAACGTCACACCATCGGAAGACCCTGCAGTCTCTGCTTTCTCTGCTGACGCTCCTTCTTTCGTTCCCTTCTTCACTGTGGCGTTCACCCCGAGGTACTCGTCCCTCCATGTCTTATCAGAGAAGTTGCCGGACAAAAAGCCAACCAGCCCAGCCGTGATCTTAATGTTTTTGCAGGCACTTTCAGTTGGGGTGTCCTCCAGAGCACTCTCAGAAGGGCACAGCTGGAAGACACGTTCGTCCACTTTCTTCCACGTCGTCAGCACCTCCTTCACCCGCTGCAGCTGCTCAGTCAGACGCACAGACCAAAGACTGTTTGATGGTTTCCCCCCATCGACCTTCCTCTTCTCGTACAGTGCAATCAACTCCTCCTTCTCCTCATCAGTTTCACCTTCAACACTTTTGTACAACAGGGCGCTGGCAGCAACGTCATCGTCCTTCCCGGATACCGGCCCAATATCAACAATGTGCGTATTGTCCGTCAGCCAAAGATGGAGTTCACCCTTTTCTTTTTCTTTGGCATACACCGGCAGAGTAACGAGCATCACATTCCTCTGCTCACCTCCATCAACAAAAGTCGCTGTGGTGAACCCGCTCCCAACGGCCTTCCCTTCTCCCTCCTGTTTGCTGCCCCACACGCGCGAGAGTGTCCCGAGTGCCTCCGTCCACGAATCCCCCTTGTCACCGGACTCGTACACCCTGCGGCGGCCATCACCACACGCAGTCATCATCATGAGTTTGTCCTTCCACTCCACGACGGAGGGATCACTGCAGCCATCGGCAGACATCCCCTTCGACAGCTTCCAACTCGGAGTAGCTGCCAAGTTGTGTATGATTAGGGAAGCAGTTTTCACTTCCTTTTCTGTTTCATCGTTCTTCTTTTTCGTGACTTCCAGCGGGAACAAAAGCGTACCATCATACATCTTAACACCCGATCCGCCGCCTCCAATCAGTCCTGTCAAGGATTCAAGTTGTGTGACAAAAATTCCTCGCGGGAGACTTTCAGTACTTTTCCAGTCAATTTTTTTATTAGGTGCTTCAGCACTGACGTTCCCTTTCACCAGCAAAAGCCCCGAGTCGTCTGCTTCGCCATCCTCTTTACCAGTGGCAGCTGTAGGACTGTATTTCCCAACAAGCATGTAAATATCATTTCCCTGCACAACTGTTGTTGGCCGGCTCACATCTACCTTCTTGCTTGTGGTAGCGACTTCCTCCAGAACTCGTATCACTCTGGCATTCTTAAGCACTTCCTCCGGTTTGTTATCTGCTGTGTTCGTGAGAAGTTGGGATGCAATGCCAGTAAAGGTATCTTCTACATCCTTCTTGCACTGCGCCTCAGCAACGGCAAATACGTCACTCCCCACTTTCAAAAGGCCGGGAACACCCAACGATTTCACACTTACGCCCTCCTCATTAGCGTCCTTCCATTCAAACTTCGGATCAGACGACGGCTCCACATCACCTTGCGCAGCTCCACAAGTACTGCAGCACATCAGCACGACGAGGAGGAGCAACACCGAGGAATTAAACACACGCCGGGACATGTTGGGCCTCTGCAGCTCACACTCTCTTCCTTCCCTCCTCCTTCCGCTGGATCCGGTCACGCGGCGACGGTTTTCTGTGCGGGTAGTCTTCACTGCAGCAACACGTGAGAGCATATAAATATGTGTGTGTGGGCGGTGTGTGTGTGCTGTTGGTCCTTTCAGAGCCTTACAATTTCACAGTGGCGATTAGCGATTGTTTTCCCTCTTTGTGAGGGTGAGAAAGAAATAAAGAGAAAACATGTCCAAAAAAGAAGTACAACAGTAACCACCGTCACCCATCCACACTGTGAGTGGCATCATCATCCCCGCTACAGTCACTCCCAACAACAACAACTCACGCACACAGACACACGGAACAGCAGAAGGGAGAACAGTGCACCTGGAACACACAGCGACTGCCACCACCAGCAGGAGGAGTCACGGCGGGGGCTTCTGCCACGCGTCAGCACACACCGAGCGGCGACTGCCCACACACAAAACAACCAGCGGAATACAAGAGAACAAGACCGTCCTTCGCAAAGCCCACGCGCTGTCGCCAGTCATTTTACTGTTGTCCCTTCCAGCGCAAATCACCCGCGCAGGCGAAGAATCCCTGACCAAAGTATACTCAGCATGGGAGATACACATTGGCACGTGCAGCTGCTGGGCAAGAAGCAATCCGCACTTGTCCCTGGCACCCTAAGCAACACCACCCAATCGACTGCACGCCAGCAACGTGTCAAAAAATAAATCGCAGGCTCCCGTCCTCCCTCCTCGCAAGGGACGTCGCAGACAGAATCTTCTGCGTGCATCCATTCTCAGCTATCACGCCGCTCTACAGCGTATGCATAATGGCGTGTGTGTGTGCATGTGCTTTTGCCAGCGCCTATACTTGCGGAGCAGCTGTGCGCCACAAGAGAGTCCAAAGAAGCAACGACAGAGAGAGGCAGATAGCACAAACGCAAATTACTCATATCATCACACACACACACACGCAGCCGCGGAATGGGTGCACTCAACCACAAAATCAAAAAGGAAAACAAAACAAAAAGCCGAAGCGTGGGACGACCAGCGCACACACACTCTCATTGCTCCCGTAAAGCAAAACACACACACAGAGGGAGAGAGAGAGAGAGGTCGCCCACTCAATGCAATAAAACAAAACAGAAACAGTTACGGTGCTCCGCCCATGCAGCCAGGCAGGACGGCAGCGGTGCGTGTGGTGCAAAAGAGAGCACCAACGGGCCTGCATGGGTGTGCATGCATATATACAATGGGCACATTATGTGTGTGCTTCGTGGGGTGAGGTGAGGGCGAGAGTCCATGCAAGGGGACACACACACACAGAGAGAGAAGGACGAGTGTGTGTGCGGGCGGTGCACGGCTCTCCCACACTCACTCTCACGCGGCCACCACCGCAGCAGCAGCACACGCAACAAGAAGAAGCAAAAGAGGGGAGGTGGTGTGGGAGACCGCGGTGCTGCCGTCACTGTCGCCAACCTTTGTCACCGTACCATTTGTTTGAGCGTCGGTGGTTGTCCTTGCTGTTTTTGGTGCTGTCTCACTGAGTGGTGGAACAACGTTGGAGTTGCCAATTTCAAGGCTCTCGTGTTGTTCTTCAGAGCTTTGAGCATCATCCTCATCTGCCTTATTCTGGACATGATCACCGCTGCCACTTGTAGAGGTAGATGAGGTTGTTGTTGTTTCCGCTGGACTGCCGGCTGCTGCATTCTTCGTCGAATCCTTTGTGTCTGTGTCATGACTGTGCTGCCCTTGTGTAGCATCCCCTGGAGATGGTTCCGGTGCTTCTGAGTCCATTTTGGATCTTGACGGTGTGTTTTCTTTCTTTGCTTTGTTTAATTTCTGTAAGTTTTCTTGATCTGGTAGTGGGCCTCCTTCGCCTGCTGTTGATGATGGTGCAGGTCCACCCGATGGTATCGTTGGTGGCGGTGGTGGAGGTGGTGGTGCCCCCTCATTATTTTGACTCTCGTGTGTCTGGGGTTGTACCTTATTTTTTTCTTTTTCGTCTTTTTTATCCTTTTTCGTTTCTTCCGCCGTTTCTTCTTCCTCATCACTGTCTTCATCTTCAGCTTCCTCTGTGGGAGGGGAAGGTGCAGGTATCACTTTTCCATCAATATCTGGTGATCCAAAATTTAAGTTTTTGGTGCCTTGTCCAGCCGTTTCAAGCTCTTTGGCTGCCGGCGGAGGTCCACCACCACTCACAGGAGCTCCTGCCTCCTCTTCACATCTACCAACGACACCAAAGAATACCCGCACCACAGCACGCAGAGGGCACACACCAGCAGCACACGGCCAGTCATCATCGCCATCACTCCTGCCACTTGCGTGTGGCCTTCAGCAAAAGTAACACCACGTCAAAAGAGAGGGAAGAAAAAAAGATAGACACAGTCGGTACACCACGCACAGCAACAAATGGCAGCACACCATGAGACAGATGGAGTCAGTACGATTGCAGAGCTCGCACACCGCACCGCAAACCACAAGTTTAAAAAGCAATAAAAACAATAATAAAAAACAGAAATTAAAAAAGAAAAACAAACCCAGGGCTCCAGTGCGCATGCTTATGAGTGTGTCCGCGATGCGTTCAACGTGGCGGATGCGGGGCACAACGCGGAGCACACAGCACGGCAGCAGAAGCAAGTGAAGCAAAACAAGATCATTATTTCCTCTTATTTAGTACAGTGAACCACAACACACGCACAAATCCCCGCGGTTGAGTGCTGGCACGCACAGCCCGCACACACCTCTTCAGCCCACAGTGGTGTACGCCAGCGCGGATGCGGCGAGCACCAGCGGGGCACACACCCACGCAGAGCTGCTGAGGCTGCCGTCGATTTCGCGAAGACGTGACGGTGCGTGGGTGGTCGACACAGCTGGCGCCTCCGTAGTCGTAGTGCTTGGTGCCTGTGTTGTAGTGGTGGTCGTCGTGGTTGGTGCCTTTGTTGTGGTGGTCGTGGTGGTTGTCTGAGCAGAGGCTTCAGACTCCTTATTTTTTTCTTCTGCGGATGTTTCGGTGCGACTTTGTTGCTCTTTCGTACCCTCTGTCAGTGATGTATTTGGCTCGGTACTTACTTTTGGTTCCAGACCTGCCGTACTGGTAGATCCTGGTCCCTCTCCACCATCATCTCCCGACTTTGCAGCGACCCCATTACTGGACGATCCTGGCTCACCGGCGGCCGTCGGGGGTGTTGGCTGTGGTGGAGGAAGCGGTGGAGCGGGCGGTGGAACGGAAGCGGCAATAGGCCCATTCTCAGTCTCTGCCACGCACACGGACGGGCGGCAGCACAGGGCAAGCACCAACAGGGCGCACAGCAGACGGCACGTCATCATCGTGAGTGTGGTCGTTCAGTGGTGTGGAGCTGATCTGCACAGTGAGGGAAATGGAGAGCAACAGGGGAGACGAGAGGTGCGGCAGACACACACAGAGGGCACACCACATGAGGAGAGGGCAGCAGCCAGGCATGCACCGTACGCCGCACACCACGCACGACACACACTCCAATCCACGGCAGCAGGCACACACACACACAGCCCTGCCGCAACACCAACACACAGATGGAGGAGGGAGAAGCAAACAGGAGCGGCACACAAGGCTCCACCGCATGCACATACGGCGAGAGCGGTCCGTCGTGTCGGCACCCCTCACGGAGAGTACGCACACACACAAGAAGGTGCAGCGCACACAGCAACACAACAGCAAAGTAACAATAAAAAAGGAGATCCCCGCACACCACGCGGATTGTTGGTCCACGGGAATTGCAGCCAATATTCACCACAAGCAGTTCAGTTGCCGCATGCCTTCGTCCACATTCATCGCACTCAATTTCATGCAGGCCGGACACCACCGCAACAGGAGCTGCTGCACACGCAACAAGAAACAAGAAAGGGAGGTGGTGTGGGAGACTACGGTGCTGCTGTCACTGTCGCCATGCGAAGCTGTGTTTATGTTGTTAGTGGCGGTGGCGGTGTCCCTCTTGAACCCCTCGCTGTGGGCTGCGGGGTAACTGTGCCGGCTGATGTGCCTTCGGTTTTGTTGTTGCATTCTTCTTCTCCACTTCTTCTGTGGAGGGTCCGGCGTCCTCTCCGTTCAGGTGGCTCGCATTATGATTGGTCGTGGTGGTGCTGGCGGCGGCGTTAAACTCTGCAGCTGGAAGAAATGCGGTGCAGTGGTCAGCCTCGGCAGCAGGCGCTTTGTCCTCACGCCGGTACGTTTCTGTTTTCTCTGCAGCGACAGAAAGTGGAGGCTGTTTGAAAATCTCCTGCACGGTGCATTCCTCTTTCCAATCTAATGCAGCAAAGCCGCCATTTGAAAAAGACGATGACTGCGATGACCTCTCGTGAATGGGAGATGGTGCATGCTGCACGGTGTCTTGGTGTGCTGCAACTTCCTTCCTTTCTGCCTCATCTCCACCAGCTGCTTCTACTGCAACTTCTCCTCCCGATTCTTCTTGTGGTGCATCACCCGGTACCTGTGCAAAAGTTGTGTTTGAACCCGCATCGTGTTTTGGCGCTACCTTCGCCATTCTCTGGCCATGAAACTTCATGTCGGCTGTCAGACCCTTCTGCCCCTTGCGGCGGTTCCTGCCCCTGCTGTTTGTCTTATTTGTTCGCCCGGTACTGCGGCTGGTTTTGTTGGTAGTGATCCTTTTCGCCCCCCAATGGCAGGCTGTGATGGGGGCTGGGCTCCTCCCTCTGTCCCACCGCCCCCGATGACTCAGCGACTTTCAACTTTTCATCCTGAGCGGATTCGTTTTCCCGACTGCCGGTGGCGCGACTGCCATCCGAAGAGGGCAATGCTCGCTCCCTTTGGGGCACGAGTTCCAGGCGCCCTACAGTGACAGGAGCCATCAGCATCTGAGCCTTGCCTTCTGAACCATTCACAGTTGACTCCTCCCGCTGTCCAACACCACTCAATGCGTCGTGTGACTCCGACACATTCGTTTTCATTTCGGGCGGCAAATAACGCCATCCCGCTGATCCTCCACATACTGCCGGTGCCGCTGGTGGCGCGCCGCCTTGTCTTCTCCTCGTTCTAACGGCAGGCGATCTACGCGGCTGGTGACGCATCTCGTTGAGTGTTCATTGGATTGCAGCATACCCCCTTATCCTCAGCGGTGTCAGCAGCAACGGCAATCCCTTGGCGCCTCCTAACGACGACGGCCATCCAATTACGCACGCATTCCTCCACGGCGGACGCATTCGCCCTGCCTCCTGTCCTTCTGCTGCCATCCATCGCGCATTCCCTCCGCAGCTGAGCACGCCGCCGCAAGAGCTAATACTCACCCGTACCGCTATCGCCACCACAGCACGCAGAGGGCACACACCAGAAGCACACGGCCAGTCATCATCGCCACCACTCCTGTCACTTGCCTGCAGCCTTCAGCAAAAGTAACACCACGTCAACAGAGAAGGAAAGCAAAAAGATAGACACAGCCGCTACACCACGCACAGCCACCGCACAGCAACAAACGACAGCAACAAACGCCAGCACCCAAGCAACGCACACACCACGAGACAGATGGAATCAGTACGATTGCAGAGCTCGCACACCGCCCCGCAAACGACAAGTTTAAAAAGCAATAAAAACAATAATAAAAAACAGAAATTAAAAAAGAAAAACAAACCCAGGGCTCCAGTGCGCATGCATACGAGTGTGTCCGGGATGCGTTCAACGTGACGGATGCGGGGCACAACGCGGAGCACACAGCACGGCAGCAGAAGCAAGTGAAGCAAAACACGATCATTATTTCCTCTTATTTAGTACAGTGAACCACAACACACGCGCACAAATCCATGCGGTTGAGTGCTGGCACGCACAGCCCGCACACACCTCTTCAGCCCAGAGTGGTGTACGCCAGCGCGGATGCGGCGAGCACCAGCGGGGCACACACCCACGCAGAGCTGCTGAGGCTGCCGTCGATTTCGCGAAGACGTGACGGTGCGTGGGTGGTCGACACAGCTGGCGCCTCCGTAGTCGTAGTGCTTGGTGCCTCTGTTGTAGTGGTGGTCGTCGTGGTCGTCGCGGCAGCATCTTTGGTTTCTCGATCTGTTTGTTCTGCGGATTTAGTCGTGCGGCTTTGTGGCCCTGTCGTACTCCCATCTTCTTCGTGTACAGTATCGATAGCATCGCCTGACTGCCGTTTCGGAGCTGTCAAACTTTTTCCACCACCTACGTCAGCCTCTCCCTGTTCCACAGTGGACCCCTTACTTTGCGACTTTGACGCTGTTGTACCATTTTCATCTTCTGTCGTACCTTTCTTTTCTCCTGTCTGTACCGGCATTTCCGCCTCATTTGATTGCGTTACGGCACCGGAAGAACCTGGGGTCACTGGCACTTTTGTTTTCCCTTCCTCACTGGACCCCGTATTTGAACCCGGTTCCTCATGGGAATTGTCCTCCACTTGCGACTCAGAGGACAAAGTACTCGAGCTGGTGGGTTCTTCTACATCTTCAACCTGAGTAGCAACAATGGTCTCCTCCGTAGAACGTCCCACGCACACGGACGGGCAGCAGCACAGGGCAAGCACCAACAGGGCGCACAGCAGACGGCACGTCATCATCGTGAGTGTGGTCGTTCAGTGGTGTGGAGCTGATCTGCACAGTGAGGGAAATGGAGAGCAACAGGGGAGACGAGCGGTGCGGCAGACACAAACAGAGGGCACACCACATGAGGAGAGGGCAGCAGCCAGGCATGCACCGTACGCCGCACACCACGCACGACACACACTCCAATCCACGGCAGCAGGCACACACACGCAGCCCTGCCGCAACACCAACACACACAGATGGAAGAGGGAGAAGCAAACAGGAGCGGCACACAAGGCTTCACCGCATGCACGTGCGGCGAGAGCGGTCCGTCGTGTCGGCACCCCTCACGGAGGGTGCGCACACACACAAGAAGGTGCAGCGCACACAGCAACACAACAGCAAAGTAACAATACAAAAGGAGATCCCCGCACACCACGCGGATTGTTGGTCCACGGGAAGTGCAGCCAATATTCACCACAAAGCAACACTTCAGTTGCCTTCGGTCTTCGCTCATATTCAGCGCACACCACTTCATGCAGGCCGGCCACCACCGCAGCAGCCGCACACGCAAAAATAAACGCAAGGAATGGAATAATGCAAGCAATCATTTATTTGTGTTTCTGTTCGGATGTTGGCAGATGTCTGCATATGTTGTTTTGTTTTTGCAGAGGGCAAACCTCCATGCCTGGATCGTGTGTTGGGGATTTCCGCAGGGTTAACAATTATTTTCCTCTTGTGGATGTTTCTTGTGTTGGTGCGGCCAAGAATTCGGTTTTTGTGTTGTTCCTGCTTCCCTTTGTTACAGTGCTGCAATAAAGAATAATCTTCCGGGCCGCTGGCCGAATCCTGAGTTTATCAACAATAGAAACCAAACACGATAGAAATAAGTGGGGGATGAACGGAATAAGAGTGGATTCACCACACCCTCAAAGTTCAGCACCAGGTAGCTGTATGTTTATACATATACCATCCGTCAGCCACAATCGTGGCCCGCTCACTCTATTCGGATAGGATGCATATATTTATTTATTACTTACGACGTGGCACACTTTTGGGATCCTGCAGCCACAAGACCCCGCCGCGTGGTGGGAACCAAAAGGGGGTGCGTGCGATGGTAAAAATAAAAATAAAGAATTATCCGGCCGCTGTCGGCTCCCTAAAGTCGTGGCCTTCCCAAAACTTATACGGTAGGAAAGTGTCGTAAAGAAGTGTATATTCTTTTTGTCAGGGTATATATATATACATTCATCAAGGCAGCCAGCTCTCCCGCGATCATTCTCTGCACAGGCTCCTAAAAGGGGCTCAAACACACCCACAGGACTCCCAGCAAGAAAAAAGGAAACACGGCGTGACTGACACGACTCAAAGTAATGCTTCTAAAACAAAGTGTGGATGACTCCGCCGACGCCACACCCGCACCAAATGCCAACAGCTCCTCCACGGCAATAATCCTGCAGCGTGCGGAGAGGAAGTTTCACGAGCGCATTATTGGCGGAGCCAAACAATTGTACCGTCAGCAGAGGGCAGCGGGCGGCGAGGGAAGTGAAGGTGGTGGGCCTGTTGGGGAGGGTCGATGCGCAGTGTCCCTCACAAATACGAGGCGGATGAAGTGAAACACTCGCCTGAACGTCACCGGCCACCAGATGCATGGCTCCCTGCCGTGAATATTGATGAGCTCGAGGCTGGAGCAACTACTCGCAGTGCGTGAAAGCGTCTTCCTGCACTGACGCTGCAATTCACATTAGACGGGCAACTACAGAACAGTCGATCCCCAGCAGTAAAATGCAGCTGGCAGTGACGCTGTGGATTCTCGATTCCCCTGGCAACGGAGGGCGGAGAAGACAACTGGTCTCCCCAGCTGCGCGGCATCCATCCATTCACTCTGTGCGTCCGGAGCGCCCCGCAGCTGCCTTGAGAGATGCAGCGGACAGACCTCCCTTATTTTCGCCTCGATCCGTCGACGAAGACTTCCGCGGTGCTGTTGGCACACACCGAAGTCTCCCTCGTGCCCACTAAACAAAAGACACACACGTTGAGCATCGTCACGCGCGTCGACGGCCACGCAAATAAATACCCACCGCAACGCAAAGTGTTTCTTATTGGGCACGAAAAGAAAACTGGAGGCGGCGGCCCGGAAAACACACATCAAATCATCCGCCAGGCAACGCTGAAATACATGCGAAAGAGCCAACGCGGGACCAGCAGCACAACCACTCGAGAGCTGCTGCGTGAACTCCACGGTAAATGGATCAGCCTCAATGCACGGGGCACTAATTACGGCGGGTGACAGCGCGAAGGCCAACATTTCCTCAAGGCCGGGAATTGTGGGGACGGCATCCAAACCCTCCCGTTACTCGTGTGCCAAGACACGCGAATAATCCGCCCCTCGGTGCAAGTCGTCACCATAATCCTCATCGCTCTCTTTGCCGTCATTCGTATTGTCACACTCAGAGCCGTTGAGGGAAGGTGCTGCCATGATGATTGTGACATCACACTAAAAAAAAGAACACAATGCCTCAAAGCGTGCCGAGTGCAGGCATCCCGTCAGGCGGCGACACGGCGCACTCCTAGCAATGTACGAAGCAAAGGCAACAAAACGACTTTCATCCGCCATCGTAATCGCGTCCAGCGGGTTCGGCCTCTTCTACTCCTTCGGCGCCTCGTCCTTCTCCGCAGCACCAGCTGCCGCTGCCGTAGATCACGCTCCTGCCGCAATCACTCTCACAGAGGGACAAGGAAGAGTGTGTGGATGTGTGCCGAGAGCACAGCAACTGTTGTCGCCGGAAAAGGCCATCGTGGCACCGTCCGTCACGCGTCAGCACAAAAACGGCAACGACCGCAACCAGCAGAGCAAAAACAAAAAGCTGATAAAAGAATGACCCCAAGAGCAGGCAACAACTTCATGGCAGGCATCGTGCAGCCGCGTCATCATTTCAGCACGGAACGTCAGCCAACGTCCCTCGTTACCAAAAACATTCCTGCAGAGCACTGTGGAAATACTCATTTGCGTGAGTGCTGGAGAAGCTGCAAAGAGAAGCACAGGGAGGCACATCAACACAGCAAGAGGCACAGCTGGATGGCAGCAATACATGCGGTACGGCACAACCTCAACAATCACGCACGGTGGCAGCACACGCCCATCCAGAGAAAAGAAAAGAAAAACACGGCGGCAGGGTGTGGCTGTGTGTGTGTGTGGCGCTGCGGGTGTCTGCCCGCCCTGGCCGCAAAGAAAACAAAACAAGAGGGAAGAAATGTGTGCTCCGCCCCACAGGCCCTCGTCGCACGCCCACACGTCACGGCTCCCTCAGCGCGCCGTTCGTCGCGGCCCCTCCTCATGCGTGCAGCAGGCGAGGCGCACAGGGCCGTCGTCATGAGCGTGTCGGTGGGTGTGCGAGTGGAGCAGTTGGGCGGAAACACACGGCACCCCTCGCAGGAAGAGTGCAGAAGAAACAATTAAAAGAGGGAAGAGTAGAAAAGAAAAAACGTCCATAGTGATTGCCCCAAAAGCAAAAAAGAAAGAAATGAAGAAATTGAGAAATAAAAAACAAAAAGGAAAAACGCACAACCAAAAAAAAAACGCAAAAAAAGTTTAAAATTACGCTCATAAAACAAAAATAAAAAAACAAAAAGAAAGTAGCAAACAGGAAATTAAATTTAAAATAAGCAAAAACTGAGGAAAAATTATTTGAAAGGGAAAGAATTAGTTCTTGGACGCAATTCGGTGCTGGGGAGGTCGCAAGTGTCCTACGCGGCAGCCAGTCACCCCTCACACAGCCGCAAACCCCCACAGTCCCAACAGCAGAAGGAGCAGCGGCAGCGCCCTGCTCCCACGCACAGTACACGCATCGCTGTTATTCCCCTGCGACGAATTTCCGAGACTACTGCTGAGTGCCGCAGACTTTACTTCCCCGGCCTGTGGATGGATTCCCTCCTCTCCCTGCGCATCCGTTCCTTCCGTCGTCTCCCCATCCTCACCAGAGCTCATGCTCACCTCAGGAGTTTGGGGTGATCCATCTCCCTGCACCGTTTCTCCACTCCCTGTCACCACCGTTGGGTCGGCGTCAGACGAGGAAGAGACATCCACATTTTTGTTTCCACTGGGAGAGGTTCCAGATGTCTGCTGGTTTACGGGCTCCTTTCCTGAAGAAGTCGCGGCGGTAGAAGTCGCTGGTGTGGATGCGCCGCCAGCACGCGCACCATTGCTCCCCTTCGGCTGTTCCTGCTCCGACGGCAGTTGCCCGGCAGAATTACTTCGAGACACGGTTCCTTCCACAGGTAATCCACTTACCGCTGGTGAACGAGGAGGTGTCGCCGATTTCTTCGGATCTTCCAGCTTTGGAATAGTAATTGTATTTTTGGCAAGCCCTGCAATCTCATCGTCATCCAAAGGACGGTTGTACAGCAGGACATTCGTCACAGTCACAGACAAGCCTTCTTGGCCCTTTGTGCTGCCTCCATCCCCTCCAATGAAGAAGTGTGAGATCCCTTTAGAATTCGTAGTTTTTAGTGAGCACGTTTCGTGCTCCACACGCTTACCATCGACGTACGCGGAGCCCTGGGTGCCGTTCTGCAGCACAATGGCCACTTGGTGTGTTTTCCCTGGCTCCCAAGGGCTGCTGTGGTCCTTTTTCTGTCCACCACCGCACAACACTGCCCGCTTCTTTCCGCTGTCGTACGACAGTCCCAGGAGAACAGTCTTATCATCGCCATTCATCGTCGCACCCATCAATGGAATGGGGGTATCTCCCTCCTTCAGCACACCGTCGATGGACACCGTCGCCACAAGAGTGAAGTTGTGGTTCGCAAAGTGGTACAGCTGATTCTCCCCCTGCCTGCCAACAGGCCACTCCGCCCACGCACCCTGGAACGTCACTCCATCTGAAGACTCTGTTACTTTTGTTGTCCCACCAGTTACTGTGGCGTTCACTCCGAGGTACTCGTCCCTCCATTTGCCATCAGAGAAGTTGCCGGACAAAAAGCCAACCAGCCCATCCGTGATCTTACCAGTAGCGCTGCAGGCAGTGTAAGGTGAGGGAGCCTGCACAGCACCCTCAGAAGGGCACAGCTCGGAGACACGTTCGTCCACTTCCTTCCAGGTCGCCAGCACATCCTTCACACGCTGCAGCTGCTCGGTCAGACGCACAGAGACCATACCGGGCGATGGTTTTTCTTTCTCATCGCCCTTCCTCTCGTACAGTGCAATCAACTCCTCATTATTATCATCTCCACTTCCAGCACTTTTGTACAACAGGGCGCTGGCGGCAACGTCATCGTCCTTCCCGGATACCGACCCAATATCAACAATGTGCGTATTGTCCGTCAGCCAAAGATGGAGTTCGCCCTTTTCCACATTTTCTTTGGGATACACCGGCAGAGTAACGAGCATCACATTTTTCTGCTCATCTCCAACACCGTCAAGAGTCATTGTGGTGAGCCCGTTCCCAACGGCCTTCGCTTCTCCGTCCTGTTTGCTGCCCCACACGCGCGAGAGTGTCCCGAGTGCCTCCGTCCACGACTCCCCCTTGTCACCGGACTCGTACACCCTGCGGCGGCCATCACCACACGCAGTCATCATCAAGAGTTTGTCCTTCTCCCACTTCACGACGGAGGGATAACTGCAGCCACCGTCAGACATCCCCTTCGACAGCGTCCAACTCTCTGCATCCTTTAATATAATCAGCGACACGGTTTTTTCATCCTTTCCGTTGTCATCCTTATCCTTCTTGCCTTCCACTGGGAACACAAGCGTACCGTCCTCCATCTTAACACCCGATCCACCGCCGCCAATCAGTCCTGTCAAGGATGAAAGTTGTTCGCCCAAAGGTGTCTTCGGCACAGCGTTGGTATCTTTCCAGTCAATTTGTTTGTTACTTTCTTCACCACTGACTGTCCCTTTCACCAGCAATAGTCCCCAGTCACCTGCACCACTCTCCTGACCACCATTACGGCTGTATTTCCCAACAAGCATGTAAATATCGCTTCCATTCACAACTGCTGTTGGTCGACTCACATCTACTTTTTTCGCCTCTGGAGAAGTGCCTTCCTCCAGAAATTGTGTTTTCTCCCTGGCATCCTTCAGCACTTCCTTCGGTTCGTTACCTGCTGTGTTCGTGATAACTTGGGATGCAATGCCAGTAAAGGTGTTGTCTCCACCCTCACCATTCTTGCACTGCGCCTCGGCAACGGCAAATACGTCACTCCCCACTTTCAAAAGGCCGGGAGCACCCAACGACTCCACAGTTACATCACCTTCACTGATGCCCTTCCATTCAAACTTCGGATCAGACGACGGCTCCACAGCAGCTTGCGTAGCTCCACAGGTGGCGCAGAAAATCATCACGACGAGGAGGAGCAACACCGCGGAAGCAAACACACGCCGGGACATGTTGGGTCTCTGCCGCTCACTCTCTCCTCCTCCCCTCCTCCTTCCGCTGGATCCGGTCACGCGGCGACGGTTGTGTGTACGGGGTGTCTCCACTGCAGCAACACGTGAGAGCATACAAATATGTGTGTGTGGGCGGTGTGTGTGCTGTTGGTCCTTTCAGTGCCTTCAAATTTCACAGTGGCGATTAGCGATTGTTTTCCTTCATGAGTAATTGAAAAGTGAAGAAAAACAAGCAAATAACAAAATGAAGCACAACAGTAAGCACTGTCACCCATCCACACTGTGAGTGGCATCATCCCCGCCGCAGTCACTCCCAACAACAACAACTCACGCACGCAGACACACGGAACAGCAGAAGGGAGAACAGTGCACCTGGAACACACAGCGACTGCCACCACCAGCAGGAGGAGTCACGGCGGGCGCTTCTGCCACGCGTCAGCACACACCGAGCGGCGACTGCCCACACACAAAACAACCAGCGGGATGCAAAAGAGCAAGACAGTCCTTCGCGAAGCCCACGCGCTCTCGCCAGTCATTTTACTGTTGTCCCTTCCAGCGCAAATCACCCACACAGGCAAGGAATCCCTGACCAAAGTATACACAGCATGGGAGATACACATTGGCACGTGCAGCAGCTGGACGAGAAGCAATCCGCACTTGTCCCAGGCACCCTAAGCCACACCACCCAATCGACTGCACGCCAGCAACGTGTCAAAAAATAAATCGCAGGCTCCCGTCCTCCCTCCTCGCAAGGGACGTCGCAGCCAGAATCCTGTGCGTGCATCCATTCTCAGCTATCACGCCGCTCTACAGAGTATGCATAATGGCGTGTGTGTGTGTGCATGTGTTTTTGCCAGTGGATATGCCTGCAGAGCAGCTGTGCGGCACAAGGGTTCAAAGAAGGCAATGGAAGAAAGAGGAAGATAGCACACACACAAATTACTCATATCAACACACACACACACACGCAGCCGCGGAATGGGTGCTCTCAACCACAAAATCAAAAAGGAAAACAAAACAAAAAGCCGCAGCGTGGGACGACCAGCGCACACACACTCTCATTACTCCCGTAAAGCAAAACACACACACAGAGGGAGAGAGAGAGGTCGCCCACTCAATGCAATAAAACAAAACAGAAACAGTTACGGTGCTCCGCCCATGCAGCCAGGCAGGACGGCAGCGGTGCGTGTCGTGCAAAAGAGAGCACCAACGGGCCTGCATGGGTGTGAATGCATATATACAATGGGCACATTATGTGTGTGCTTCGTGGGGTGAGGTGAGGGCGAGAGTCCATGCAAGGGGACACACACACACAGAGAGAGAAGGACGAGTGTGTGTGCGGGCGGTGCATGGCTCTCTCACACTCACTCTCACGCGGCCACCACCGCAGCAGCAACAACAAGAAGAAGCAAAAGAGGGGAGGTGTGGGAGACCGCGGTGCTGCTGTCACTGTTGCCAGATGCCACCGTGACACTTTTTATATCCGCGAATTGGACCGGTGTTTCCTTCGTATTATTATATTTATTTTCATCCCGCCTTTCTTCCGTCCCTGACACATCGGAATCCGGTGTATTGTTCGGAATATCTTCTCCAGTGCTTCTGTCTGCTTCGTTATTTGCATTATCGCTGGCAACGAGGGTTGTTGCTGTGGTTGATTCGGCTCTACCGCTGGATGCTTCATTCTGATCTGTGTCTACGGTGGTGGCGATATCCTCTTCTGCCAAATCTTTGTTTGGCTTCATGCTCACTGAGTCTTCCTCTGGCTGCGGCACCGGCGCCTTATCTGCATTGGGGAGTGGTCCTTCCACTGGCGGTGATGGTGTTAGATCTGTTGCTTTCGCTGGCAAATCCCCCGGTGATGCTCCCTCTGGTGACTTTGTTGCAGTGGTCTTAGTCGTCTTGGCAAGGCCTTCGGCGCTCTCAATTGTTTCTTCTGCCGGCTGTCTCGTGCGACTTTGTGATACTGTCGTACCGCCCTCACCGGTCCCCAGAACTGTTTGCTCTTTTGTACTAGGCTCCAAGCCCTCTCTATCTTGATTCCCTAGCAAACCATCTGCCGGACTTGTATCTGAAGTCTCTGGCGCTGTCATATCAATCCTATCTTTTTTCTGTAACGCATCAGCCGCATCTGCTCTCCTTCCGCCACCTTTTCTCGGTACCAAACCGGACACCTCACCTGACGACATTGATTGACCGATCACAGTCATTGGTGCCCCTCGCGCAGTGGACAACGTAATTGGTGGCAGCGGCTCAGTGACCCCGGGTGATCCTCCTGGTACCTGAGACGGTGAATAGGTTCCGCTTACAATATCTTCAACCTGAGCCGTCTCAGACTATGACGCGCACACGGACGGGCAGAAGCACAGGGCAAGCACCAACAGGGCGCACAGCAGACGGCACGTCATCATCGTGAGTGTGGTCGTTCAGTGGTGTGGAGCTTATCTGCACAGTGAGGGACATGGAGAGCAACAGGGGAGACGAGAGGTGCGGCAGACACACACAGAGGGCACACCACATGAGGAGAGGGCAGCAGCCAGGCATGCACCGTACGCCGCACACCACGCACGACACACACTCCAATCCACGGCAGCAGGCACACACACACGCAGCCCTGCCGCAGCACCAACACACACAGATGGAAGAGGGAGAAGCAAACAGGAGCGGCACACAAGGCTTCACCGCACGCACATGCGGCGAGAGCGGTCCGTCGTGTCGGCACCCCTCACGGAGGGCACACACACAAGAAGGTGCAGCGCACACAGCAACACAAAAGCAAAGTAGCAATACAAAAGAAGATCCCGGCACACCACGCGGATTGTTGGTCCACGGGAAGTGCAGCCAATATTCACCACAAAGAAGATTGTTATCTTGTTTTGGTTGTATGCTGCTACAATAACGAGTGAGTAGCGCAAGGGCCGTCCGTACAAAAGTGGCAAGTATTCCGTCGCAAACGGCAGTCGTGGACACTGGGTCAGTCACAAACAGTCGCAGTCCATATTCTCAATGACAGGGCATTCCCGCAGTGGATGAGGCGGAGTCTCCCGTGGTCCGTCGGGGATCAGCAGCCCGTGGCGTCCGTGATGAGGCGGTGGCGGAAGAGCCTGGTCCATCTCGAGTGCCCGCGTTTGTGCTTCCTGCGTGTCTTGCCTGCTGGCATGCTTGGCAACTTCGGAGGCGACCTGCGCGCGAGGCGCCTGTTAAGAAGACGGTGGCGCCATTGTGGCATCCGCATGGGAGGCCCTCGCAAACTATTATAACGCCAGGCTGAGCACGTCCGGCATGTGCCCTCATACTGTGGACGGACAAGCGCACTCTGCCGCAGATTGGGCAGGAGGACGTCAATCCGCCGCTCGCTGGTCGACAAGGGGTTGCGGCGCTCACGTCGGGAAGAGGTTCCGGCGGAGGCAGAGGCGGGCCGGTCACCGCAGTGAGGGAGGGACGGCGCCACCGACACAGAGGGTTCCTTGTGATCCGCAGGGCGCGTGCAGGCCTGTCGAAGAGTGGGCAGGAGTCGCATCGCGCCTGTGCGCAGTGCCGCCACTCGGGAACCGATGTCCGGGTCAACACCAGGAACAGAGTCCTCGCCACACCGACAGGCGCCTGTCACGCGGTGTGCGCGCCCTCCTTTTCCTCCTGGGCATCCTTCCATTATAACCTCTTGACGGCGGCAAGGAAGCCCACGTGCCAGGCATTCACGCAGTCATGCGGGAGGAATCGTGCAATCGTGGCTTGTTTGTCAGCGGCCTCACTGCGTGGAATACCGCAGTGTGAGGGGAAAATATAAAATCCACAGGGTGACCCCGCGTCACCAGGGAAAGCAGCATAATCCAAATTTACTCAGTAACGCGGTCTCGCACGGTCGGTGGGCAACGCGGGGTGCCTCCATTGCCGAGAGGGAGTCCGTTTCCTCCAGCATTCGCGTGGGCGATTGGGATGCTCCCAGACAAGGAGGTATGAGATGTCTAAAAACATTTTCGATCGCAAGGCAGCCTGCCCTATATGAGCATGCGAGGCTGCCAGCTGCTGCACGATGTACCTCCACAGGGAGATCATTTGTCGTGGTGGAGTCATACAATAGCGCAGCGGATCGGGATGCGAGTGCAGCGAGAGACGAAGGACCGTCCATCCACAAATCAAAATCACAATCCCCCAAAGAGGAGTGAGTAGAATAGAAAGCCGTGCGCCCGACATCGTCAGAGGCGTCTTTGGCAAACAGTGGCTGATAAAATCTCACGCTGTTGCAGCTCACAGTATCCCAGGGAAAAATTCGATGTTGGGCAAGAGGCGCGAATGTGGTTGTGGGGTGTCCCAATAATGTCACAGACGCGTAGCAATCCATTAATAGCAGCATCTCTCGGAGGCGGATCGATGTCGCTGCCTTTCCCATGCATGGACGAAGGCATAGGTTGCGAGTAGATAAGGGAACGCAAATCCTCGTGATCATGGAGGCGTATATAGCGTTCGTATTGTGTGAGTGCACGACGCCAGAGTACCTTCCGGAGCGGAAGAATATTGGCTTCCAAATAGACAGATGTGTCTTCCGTAGAGGCGCTCAGGCCAAGAATGTTTTGCTACCGTCGCGGTACCGTACTTCCATATTATGGAGGTGAGTGGGGGCGAGTCACGGGACAATTGCCTCGCCACTATGAAACAGCACACTATGAACGCATCCAATCAAAAAGGATCGCATGGTGTGATGGGACGCGCCCGCCTCTGCGACCAGACGCAGCTGATAGCGGCGTGGCATGGTCCTCTTTGCAGCGGTGGAAGCATGCGCAACAGAATTAAGAAGTTGATCGAACTTGTTGCCCAGCAAGCGCACTGGGCGTGGCTGAATACGCAGGTTCCCGCTAACAAGATGGAGATCGACCATGTCCTCGTCAGACCGTGTGTGTGTGTGTGAAGAGATGTGGAATAGAGCAGCTTCGCTCTTAGCGACGTTGATTTTTAGGCTGTGCTCGGCAGCCCATGTGACAACAAGAGACAAGAGCGGTCGCATTGCCGCAGCACAGGCATGGATGTCCATAGCTGAGGCAACAAGTGTGTGTTCGTCAGCGTACATGAATGCGGAGGCAGAATAGATGCTGTCCAGGCGGCGCAGCAGATCATCCACACAGTAAAGGAAGAGTTGGGGTCGCGGGACGCCGCCTTGCGGTGCTCCAGCTGAGGCGAGTTGTTTCCGGGAGTGCTGTTCACGAGTGCATACCCTAACATAGCGGCCCCGCAGGTAGTTGTGCAGCCAGCGTTTGGTTCGAGGCCAAGGCGCGGAAGTCTGTCAAGCATGCAGAATAAATTCCCATGGTCAGTGGTGTCGAACGCAGTCGGAAAATCAATCGAGACCACAAGCGATGGCGACGAGGGCGTCGTGTGGGGGCGTCGTCTCCAGGGCGCTCATGCTCCACAATGCCAAACTCATTCAATCCACGAGTAATGTGTCGATAACAAGTGCCACCACGTCCGACGTAGAACGCGGAGGTGCAAATCCGAAATTGACGTGGGTGGTGCGGCAATAACGCTGACAGACGGCGGTGAATCATTCCTTCGGCTAACTTTAGTAAAACAGAGAGCAGCGTGATAGGTCTGTAACTCTCTGGGCGGCATGGATCCTTCCCAGGCTTGGAATAGGAATAGCATCTCCCATTTTCCAGGAGCCAGGGAGGCTGCCGTTTGCGAAGGAGTTGTGGATCATCGTTCCAAGAGTGCCACGCGCAACGGGCCCGAGACGGTGCAGGAATTCATTCAACATGTCGTCGGGACCAGGGGCTGAGCCAAGCAAAGAGTCACGGATGGTCACGTCAAGTTCATACGGTGGGAAAGGCCGATCCATTTCCCAGCCACCAGGAACCAAAGGAGTGCAGCGAGCAGCAGCAGCAGTACAAGGCGGTATGGCACGTGAAACCGCACAAAATGACGGACATGCAGATTTGCCTGTTGCCGAGGCAGGGCGCATACGCGGCCAAGTTCAGTGCGGAGCACAACCGATTCCAGAGGATGAGGGTGCGGCGCCACCACGCCGTGAAGATATCGCCACCTCGGGCTGGGTGAGGCTCCAAGTCTTTTCGCGCGGGCTTCCAGAAGCACAGCGGAGCAACGGCGTAAGGCTTGATTTCGTTCCTCCCTTTTTCGGGTACATTCGGCTCAAAATAGGCTGTCTCCAGGTGAGGCAATGTGTGTGCTTCGTGTGCTGCCTCGGCGGCGGACTCGGCCTGTTCCATTTCGTGTGTCCATATCTTTTTGGAGCTGTCACAGCTGCCGCGCGGGATGTGGCGCTCAGCTGCTCGTAAGATGCCTCCGCGAGGATCCAACCATGTGGACGCGGTGGCAAGGAGGGTTTCACACAACGATGTAAAACCAGGCCAACCCGCTTTACGCAGGGCAAAGGTGGCTTTCTTCCGTCAAGGCAGCGTGTTTGCTAGTCGTGGAGTCCCATCGTCCATCTCTACCAGGTAAGATATTCAGCAGTGGTCCGAGTCCATGTAAGGGGCGAATGTCCAGTGGGAGATGCGTAGGGCGCAATACGCAGTCACGTCAGGGGACGAGGCATTACGATGTGTGATCCGTGTTGCCTGTGTCGGGTAATTTGCCTGCCCAAAATCCATATCAATTAGAACAGCAGCGAAATTATCGCCTCCAGTCCTTGATGGTGTATATGACTGTCCCAGAGTTCACGATGCAAATTCAGGTCACCCGCGATAATCTCTTCGGGCACAAGCGACAAACGATATTGATAAATGCGGATTATTGACCAATTGCTGTGGGAGGGTTGTAGAGACTCGCCACGCAAATGCTGCGACAGCCCGGCGGAAATACACGGACAGCAATGGTCTCCAGGAGGTCAGTGCCAGGGAGCGACAGGCGCTCGCACGGTGGAGAGTGGCGCACCAGAATGGCAACGCCACCACCGCGCCCAGTGAGGCCCGAAGGCAGTCATTATGACCACATAATTTCGTCGCCACGTCACCACGGTTACTTATTTCCTGCAGAAGAACGATGTCAGGTGGACGCTGCTCCAATCGCGCAGCAAATGCAATATTTTTCACGGACGAGAGGCCTGCAATGTTAAGCCGCCAAATATTGATGAAGCCATCCTCCTCGGTGGCAGGGTTCTTGTGAACGTCACCGCCACGGGTGACATCAACGGAGTGACCGCTGCGAAACGGTCGTGCAGTTCTGTCCGACAGTCTGCAGGCAGACCGCCTCACCTCCCCACACCGGGCATGGCGTGGAACCCTCTCGGGGAATGAAGTCACCTTGGTCTCCGTCGTGCTCGCAGCAACGCCCTGCTGCGGAGTTCCTATACGCAACCAAAGCCCCAACACCGCGACAAGGCGCAACATCATCGCTGGGGACCGTGGATACTAGCAACGGATGGCGGTGTTGGCATTCCCACGTCAGCCGGGGTTGGCATACTGCTCTCATCCCTGCATTCCTCGGAGATAATAGAGAAGGTCAGTACCAACGGCGGCACACGCCCATGCAGCCGCACGACGGAATCCCGTGCACTGCTCCCGGCCATGGAAAGGCTGAGTGTCCATCGTATCCAGCACAAGCAAGAACCCTGCTTGTGGTTACAGACAGTCAGTCTCTTCTAGCCGCCGTCACCAAGGGCCCGCACAGCCATACCCACTGGACGGAGGATCCGATCTGGCAGCGTCTCTTGTCACTGACGCCTGCCGGCCGGTCCGTGCACCTGCAGTTTTGCTACGAACATCGCGGAGTACACGTTAACGAGCCTGCAGATCATGCGACGCAGACCACGGCAACCGGGCAACACACGGAGCATGGAATCGCACGCATACGGCACACGGACCTGCTGACATGCATTAACACCCAGCTCACCAACAAGTGGCGTAGTACCATGCATCAGGACACCCACCACTACCTGCTTGGCGGCGCCAGGCCATCAGATCCAGGCGGCAAGCACCTGATCACTCAGGAAGCCCTCGACCAACAGGAACGGATACACACTGCACGGGAAGGGTGCGGGGAATCCGAGCTCTGGGGTCGCCTGTACTGGACTGTGAGAAACTGCACGAACCAACACCGTTTCCGCAACATCTCACCGGAACACTCCGATTTCATGCGCTCCAACGACGATCCCACCGCACCGGGACGGACGCTGTTCCCCCGACGATAAGGGAGGCCGACACACCGCCTGTGGAGAGACGGCCCTCCACACAGCGTCGGAAGAAGAAATGCCCGCACTGTGACGCCACACTGGTGGGACACACGAACCACATCGGTCACTGTCGGTGCTTTCATCCGGAACGCCCTCCACCGCTTCCCGACCTCCACCGCGATTGCTGCGACACAGTCCTCCCCACACAAAAAAAGCACCGCACAGCACAGAAATCGCTGCGCACAGAACCCAGACGCTGATCGGCACCGCAGCAGCAGTGCCAGGAGGCAATCACTGCTACCGCAGGATCAACCAGCCTCCACAAGCGCAACAATTAGCCCGCAGAAAACACTGCGCCATCTGCTTCCGGAATGTACAGACGCTCTGGCTGTGCGCCAACGGCTGGGCATCAAGAAGGGCCTTCGCACCGAAAGCTTCTCCCAATGGCAGCTGCCTCATAGCAGGAAACTCATGTCGCTGCTCGACCACCTCCTCGGCACCCTGATGACATCGTGTGGCTAGACATGTCGGTAAGAGCAGGGAAAAATAATAATAATGAGCATTCCCGCCACTATAGAGACGCGGTGCATCTTGCGATCCCGCTGGCGGCTCTCCTCTTCCACCGCTGTTTTTGCGCAAGAGGTCACCACAGTCATTTTTGTGGTTTGGTCGGCCTCGTGTTGTGCTCCGGGTTCTCCTCCTTCATCGCCCTGCGGTGCTTCCTTCGCCGTCCCTGGCACCTGTGACTGTCCCGTGACGGTTTGTTCCGAAGCCCGACTGCCCTGGGAGGTCCTCCCGCCACCAGCATGCACTCCACCCGCTGCCTGCTGAGATGCGTCGGAGCGTGGGGATGTTGTGCCTGCAGATTGCCCTCCGCCCAAAGACTCCGGTCCACTTGCACGCATCCGAGCAGCAGACACGCTGCCAGTGCCGGACGGATTGCAAGTGCCACTTCGCAGTGGGTCGCTTCTGGATTGGTCCTGCCTCGTCGGTGCAGTGAGTGCTCCTCCCGAGGTGGGATTGGGGTCCTCACCCTCAATGCTTCCTCCACCCTCCTCGTCTTCCTGATTGCTATTGCCCTCAGAGTTCACATTCCCCCTTCGTCCAGAGCCACCGGCCACAGGTCCACCTTCCGCAGCCATCACACCCCGCGCGTGCCCAGCAGCCACTGCGCCATCACCCGCGGGCAGCACACGCACCCCGTCGCATCAGCCCTCACTCACACGCACGAGCAGCTGCACATCACTGCAGGAGCCAACAGGACGCAGAGCACACGGCCAGTCATCATCACAAACAGTGGAGTCGCCTAACGCTGCGGAGCCAACCTGCGATACCACGAAAAAACAAAGGGAGACACAGCCGCTACACCACGCACAGCCACCGCACGGCAACAAACAGCAGCACCCCAGCAGCAGCAGCGTACACATCACGAGACAGATGGAATCAGTAAGATTGCAGAGCTCGCACACCGCACCGCAAACCACAAGTTTAAAAAGCAATAAAAACAATAATAAAAAACAGAAATTAAACAGAAACCAAAAAAGAAAAACAAACCCAGGGCTCCAGTGCGCATGCTTATGAGTGTGTCCGCGATGCGTTCAACGTGACGGATGCGGGGCGCAACGCGGAGCACACAGCACGGCAGCAGAAGCAAGTGAAGCAAAACACGATCATTATTTCCTCTTATTTTATACAGTGAACCAAAACACACGCGCACAAATCCCCGCGGTTGAGTGCTGGCACGCACAGCCCGCACACACCTCTTCAGCCCAGAGTGGTGTACGCCAGCGCGGATGCGGCGAGCACCAGCGGGGCACACACCCACGCAGAGCTGCTGAGGCTGCCGTCCATTTCGCGAAGACGTGACGGTGCGCGGGTGGTCGTCGTAGTTGGCGCCTCTGTAGTCGTAGTGCTTGGTGCCTGTGTTGTGGTCGTCGTGGTGGTCGTCGTGGTTGGTGATTTTGTTGTGGCCGTCGTGGTCGTCTCGTAAGAATCTTCGGCGTTATTAACTTCTTTGTCCGTAGGTGCACCGGTGCCAATTTCAGATCCTTTATTACCCTTCGCATTCTCTGTCAGTGATGTATTTGACACGTTATTTACTTTTGGTCCCGGAACGACCAAACCTGATGCCTCTGGCTCATTTTTGTCCGTATTCGGCTCATTGGCTGAATCATCAGCAGCATTACCGTCCACTGGTAGTCTTCCTGTTTGAGAGGGCGCTGGACCGGCGACGTTTCCATTAGGTGCAGTCGCCCTAGATTCAGCTGAGGTAGGCGACAAATTGGGGTCTTTTGCATTACCTTGGCCTTCAGAGGGCTCCTGAGTGTCTCCCGCGTGCACGGACGGGCAGCAGCACAGGGCGAGCACCAACAGGGCGCACAGCACACGGCACGTCATCATCGTGAGTGTGGTCGTTCAGTGGTGTGAAGCTGATCTGCACAGTGAGGGACATGGAGAGCAGCAGGGGAGACGAGAGGTGCGGCAGACACACACAGAGGGCACACCACATGAGGAGAGGGCAGCAGCCAGGCATGCACCGTACGCCGCACACCACGCACGACACACACTCCAATCCACGGCAGCAGGCACACACACACACAGCCCTGCCGCAACAACAACACACAGATGGAAGAGGGAGAAGCAAACAGGAGCGGCACACAAGGCTCCACCGCATGCACGTGCGGCGAGAGCGGTCCGTCGTGTCGGCACCCCTCACGGAGGGTGCGCACACACACAAGAAGGTGCAGCGCACACAGCAACACAACAGCAAAGTAACAATACAAAAAGAAGATCCCCGCACACCACGCGGATTGTTGGTCCACGGGAAGTGCAGCCAATATTCACCACGAGCAGTTCATTTGCAGTAGGCCTTCGTCCACATTCGGCGCACTCAATTTAATGCAGGCACAGTCACCACAACTGCGGCCGTACACGTAACAACAACAAGAAGCAAAAGAGGGGAGGTGGTGTGGGAAACAGCATCGATGCTGTCACTGTCGCCAGGCGCCGCTGGGTTATTCGTTTTGTCTGTGGCTGTAGAAGATGTTGTTTCCTTCTCGCTGCCATCCTCTCGTTCATGTTGGTGTTCTCCCTCCGGCACAGCGGCATGAGATGCGGAACCACCGTTCAAAATCTCCGCATTGCCCGCGTCAGCGTCATTGGCGGCAGCAGCAGCATCCGCAAGAGAAGATGGTGAAGTTGTCTCAGCCTGACCCTCAGTTATTGCATTCTGCCTTGCATCCGCTGTTGGTTCGGTGCCTTTTCTGCAGATCTTCTGTTGGCTTCATGGTCGCTGGAACTTCCGTTGAGGATGGCAGTGCGCTGTGTGGTGGTGATTTCGGTGGCGGTTCTGATGGGTCTGCTGGCGCCTCTTATTCTGCTGCTGTTGGCGGCAATTCCTCCCATGCTTCTTTTTTCTTCGGTGCTGCCTCCTCTGCACCTCCTTTTGCCGGCGGTTTTGGCTGTCGCAGGGGCATTGGCCGTGCTTCTCCCTGTTCTGCTGCACCGGTCGTAAACGATCGATAATTTCCAGAGAGCGACTTTGAAGCAGACTCTGTGCCCGGATGTCCAGGGGAACGACTGGTGCTTGAAGCAGACAGTCATTCAGGTGCTTCAGCTGCAGGTGCGTGCTCTGCATTGTGCGCGCTGCCAGTCGAACATTGCGGATTTCTTTTTGCTCCTTTCACCACATCCCCTGGTCCTCCCGAGCCCATTCTGGCACTCCCTGTACCACGGACACACTCTGCTCAGCGTCAGTCGCTGTTTGAGGCTGCGGTGTTTGCTCTTGACTGTCGCCGTTCGATGCGCCCCGTGTGAGACCCGAGCTGGGTGCAGCCGCATGCTCTGCTGAGTCCTCGGACGGCTGCGTCGCATGTGCTGTTTGTCCTTCTGCTGGCGCTGGTGCTGGAGTTCTCCGTGCGCTCTCCCCCGTCCTGAGCACGTGTGGCCCTTCTCGTTCCTGTTGTGCCCACTCGCTCTGAATATTTGTAACTGACGCGCCGCCTTTCTTTCCATCCCTCTCTTCCACGGTGAGAGTTGCCGACCCCGCAGAAAATTGTGGCGGTTGGGAGCACACACTCGACATTGACGGCTCTTCGCCGCAGCATGCTGAGCCTGCCTCCTCCCTTTCTCCTGCCTCACTTCCACCAGCGGGAGGATCGTCTTGGACGCCGGAGACAACTGCGGGCTGCTGCTTGGGCCAACACCACCACCAGCACCCGAGACAGGAGTACTGCTGGCAGCGTCTGTATCGGCAGCAGAAGAAGATGAAGCCATTGGTGCAGCCCCACTGCCGCTGAGCTTCAGTCCCGCTCCCTGCATCACCGACCGGTGGTTGTCCTGCATCACTGTTAAGCGTTCCGCTTGCACCAACGCCGCCGTCCTCACCGGCCGGTACCGCCGCAGCTACTCCCCGTAAGGCAGCACTCGACACGCAGTCCCTCCTCGCAAACACCACTTCGCCATCCATTCCCCTTGCAAGTCCCGCGTCGTCCATTCCACCATCAGCACAGTAGCACACAGGCCACGCATCACCACCGACGACACCGCATCACAGCACGCAGAGGACACACACCAGCAGCACACGGCCAGTCAACATCATCGCCATCACTCCTGTCACTTGCGTGTGGCCTTCAGCACAAACTAACTCCCCGTCAACGCAGAGCAAAAGCAAAAGGAGAGACAAGCCAAGAACCGTCCCATCCATCAATGAGAGTCACGCACCACAACAACAATTGGGTGGGCATGGTTCAACAACAATCAAAAAAAGAAGTGCTCCTCGCCAGTGCCCTGTTCCTCACACTCCCACAGTCACTGTTACTGTTATTCCCTCTCCTCAGTCCCTCACAGGCACGCCACGCCCACTTCAACACGCGCCCCTCCAGCACACGCAGTCCGTCATGCGCTCCCACTGCGCCGCAACGTACGACACCTCCTCCCTCAGTCAAACAGCTCCGTGTCCTCCACGTCCCTCACAATCGTCGGCATGCCCCAGCCGCACAACACCCACAGCGCCACAGTGTCGTGCCGCCTCTCCTCCCCAATCATGAACGCAACACCCAACGTGTACTCGCGCACGTGCTCCATGCGCTGCAACCACAGGCCGATCAGGTTGGCCGTCATGAACTGCATCTTGTCGTCCTCCGTGTACTTGGAGCAGACCCTCACATCCTCTCAATCCACGGCCTGGTGCTGCGAGAGGCTGCCGAGAGGCGCCACGTGTGTGGAAGAAGCAAATGTGGGGAAACAACGGCCACCCTCACTCCCTCACACATCTCCACTTCCCTCCACTGTCCCACACAAAAGGGCGGTGTCATGGGGAAGAGATGCCCGCCGCACAGCACATGCACGAGGGCACACGCGGAAGCAATGCCATCCACTTCGCACCGCAAGATACTGCCATGCGCTCAGCACACACACGGCGGCAACGAGAGCGACGGGGTGCATCCAATTACATACCGCACAGCCATTTACTTCTCTCCGCACGGCTAGTGGCGTCCCACACTCACAGCGAGGCACGGCGCACACCATCTTCTCCCTCCGAGGGCACTCAGGAGGCCGGCGCCCAGTCACCCTCGTGCCATCGCAATGGGTAGCACAAACAACCGTCGTCGCAAACCATCGGCGCCTCTAGCAGAAAAGAAGAAAAATATATGAGGGCAGTTCAGAAACACAGCCAGCAGAGGGACACCCAACGACACACGGAGGCACACAGTGACAGTGGACACGGCACGGACAAAAAGAAGTCCGCAGGGATTTTTTAAAAAAGAAATCAAAATGAATCAGTAGGACTTCCATTTCGTGTGCCATGCAGCACAAGACGATCACGTGCGTATAAATATTACCTGCACAAGTAAAAAATGTAATGAAAAAAGAAAAAAATCTTATTACTCCCAGCCCACACAACATCCCTCACATTTCACGCGGCATCCGGCCTCTTCTTCCAATCCCCGTTCCTGCAGTCCGTGGGAAGCACAGCAGCGGAGCCGGCACCGCGTGTGGGCAACAGCAAAAAACAAACACACAAGAGAGAAAACACGTCGCCCATTCCAGTGCACATCAACCAAACATTAATGAGAAGAAAAAAGGGCACTTATTGCTCCAGTGGGAAAGCATCAAAAAGAACATTACAAAGAAGAAAAAA